TATTCTATGTTAAATAAAATCATTGCAGCCGTTAAATTGACCATTTGAATCATTACTGTATTGTGATCATTTACGTTTAAATAAACATGTATTATAGAAGTACAATTTTACATTATCTTTATTTGTAAATCATAATTGGTTTTAAAAATCCTTTGAATAAATATGTGAGATGTATTGAAATGTACTCTTTATTTCTATTTTTTTTTCTTTTTACGCAGTTTGTTACCTGCATTAGCCTACTAAGATATGTACCTTGATCTTCCTTCTTCCTGATCAATATCTTACAGGTTGTTTGTCATTCTTTCATTCGCCAATATGAATGTGGTCTTAAGTGAAGCATATTTTTTGGCTTTCTGATCTATATCATTGTTATTTTTTTTTAAAAAAAAACAAAGAGCTTAAGGTAAACTAAGGTAAACAATCTTTTTAAGTGTGCTTTACCTAAAGAGGCTACTACAGTAGACAAAAAACATAAAACATCAATATGGAACTACCATCAATATTTGATTATTGTATTTTGTTTCTAGTTAAAAAGTGATAAGCAAAACCTTGTATTAGTTAACAATAATCGTGTCATATTAATCCTCTTGCCACTCTCTTTATTGATAAATGAATGTATTGTTTTAACTCATGTGAATTTTAGTCTTATACTTCAAGACAGGTTCTTTTACATACCGTATATCATTTTATACATTTTAACATCCTTATTTAAGGTTATTATAAACCTCCCCAATGAATTGATATTCCAAATAAAAAAGAACGACAGCAATAAATTTATGTCTTACGATGCTATCAAGCGATGTCAATTATCTAAATGGAATTGTCTTCATTAAGGATTTTAGGGCTTTTTTTATTTATTTAAAAGTTTAATTAAAAAAAAGTGTAAAACAATTTCAAATTATCGTACTGGTGTTCAAAATCCTTTTTGTAAACAATAACAACACACCAAGACTTATTAAAAAACTTATTTTGTTATAACACTAAGGTGACGAACACTACACTATTAACCGAAAGATAAAAAAACAAGGACAATTATTATTTAATTTACGTATATTTTCTTCAATTTATACATTATTGGTACTTGTAATGTCATAAAAAGACAAGAAGTAGCTTCCTATTTAATTGTTCTGTACAGAGTCACGGCTAACACAACATGTCATATATAAAATTCATATTCACACACATAAAGCACAAGAAAGTTTCATTTGTACTCTATTATATAAAGCCTTTTTTTTCTATATCTAAGTTACAAAACTACAAGCATTGTATTATTACATTTTGAGGTTTATATGTTTAAAAATAAAAACAAAACATCTATGACCCAATGCAGAACCATGTGTACATATACGACAAGGGGTGAAAATTTAAATTTCATATCTTAAATAGATCAACCTCGTACGTACATATTTTGCATTGCTTATTTTCCATATTTAGAAGGAGGACATTTAAACTACAATTTTATCTTCAGCATTCTTTACCCATGATTTGTCACGTCAACATTTGTTGACCTACTTTCACAAAATAGTCAAATAGGCTTTTTTTGTTATAAACTTGTTTACGTCTTTTGTTTTCTTCACGTAGGCATGTCAATCGTACATGTCCAACAATAATTTGCTATATCGTCTGGTGCACCTAAACTACTTCAAAAACATATGCAGTGAAATGATAGATGATGAAATTCGTATACTGAAAGTATTCAGTCGATCTTGATTTATTTAGTTCTTTATAATGTAGTGTTGAATTGACTGTTAATGAATACAGATAAAGCTAGATATATCTGTGCGGTGCGGTGCCGCAGGGCGAACGAATTGATCTAATGTTTAATTGCTAACTATGAATACAATTATCAATAATGCTCTATAATAATTGTGTGTTTATACCTTAACGATGTTTATTAAATGCTTATAATTATTGTGTGTTATCTTTAATTAAATTAAATACTTACTATACCTTAACATCGTGTGCATCCAAAAACGCACGGATGTGCAAATAATATACAAGTAACGCCGAATCTGTGCAACATGAGGCCAACATGAGAAGCATTATAAGTAAATCGACCAAATTGTTTCATCCCAAATCAAGTTAAAAAATAAATATGCTTAAACGGCTGCAAGGGCAATATATTTTTACCAGCATTACAATTTTTTCTAGGATTATTTTTGGCTTGCTGCTTTGAAAAAGTTGTTCCGGTTAGGTGGTTTCCTGCTTACATTTGTTAGTGCATGATGGAACGGGAAACCAGTCTAGGTTACCGCTGCAATCGTGACAATTCGGACGATTTCGTCATACTGCTAAATCAGACGAAGTAATATTACGGAAATCTAAGCTATTTTTGAGTTACTTCGGTAATCCCAGTTTGTTTCTATAAATAGGATTTCTATTTTTACTTGATTTATCCATTTAAAACGTTTACTAAGCAGAAGGAAGAAATAGATTATAAACGAAAATATTCCGTTTTATTTTCGTTTCCAAGACACAAAAGTTAGTGTCTTTTATGATTGATATGATTGATATTTGGCTTCTTTAGTTTTAAACAATATAGCATAGCTACTATAGTAGTATTCCGTCTCGAAATAACGGTCCTACTTACCAAAAGATCGTGACCAAATCACACAGAGAATTAGTGTGAACAAGTTAAAATTGCATAGCTCTGACACATTTTTCTGCGATCGAGTTATATTTAGATCTACTGTATCTTATATTTAAACGCAATTTTAACGTGGAGTTAAAACTACAGTATAACGTATTGGTGATTGATGATATAAAATACCCCATGAATACCACGTGCTAGTCTACAGATAGCGCATATTGTGTTGTCGGTATATCTGTTTGTGATCAATAGACAAGTAACATTGATATTTTAGGTGTATCATAGTTGATACATACATATTAATTCGTACCACGTCACGAAGTCTTTCAGGGCATTTACTTGTCTATAAAGCTGCTATTTAAATGATATTAGCAACTGCCAAAACGAATGACTCTTTCTGCGAAAAAAACGTGAAAAATGAAATGTACACACTTGTTTCCATTCAGAATGATAGATAGATACTTTTATTTTCTCCACGTGGGAGAGCCGATGTAAGTATTTTTGCGATTGATTATTTTCTTTATCAGTTTTATACAATAAAGAATATATTTCAAATCGATTTTGCATAAAAAAAAAAAAAAAAAAAAAGAATTCGTTTTTCAATTATAATCGGTGACTTCTGGTCACTCTTTTGTCCAAATTTGCATGCATTAAACTGGTGATACGAATGGGCACAGTGCTCGTCCAGTCTTGGGGTTACCCTACCTACCCCTTTAAAAGTGAAACATTTTTCTTTTCGAAAACAAAATTATAAATAAACCCTTTATGATATACAAATAATTAAATATATGATAATAAATTGACCCTCTATACCTGGAAAAACATAGGTACCTTGTTTTTCCTGGTATTTAAGGTCAATCTATTATCATTTTCTAATAATTATTTCTTTATCATAAAGAGTTGATTTAGGAGCGTTTTTTAAAATTATATTCAACGGGATGGGATGACGGCACAACTGGGCAAGCCTTGTCTTTTAAAAGGAAACGTTATTACTTTTTTTAGATCATTTGTAAGAAGGATGACATGACTACTGTTCTGACGGCGACTTGAGTGTTTCGACAAAATTTAAAAGAACTCTAACAGATAAAACTTTACTTTCTTCATATTCAATTTACAATAGATATTTGCAAAACTACTTTTGTCGTGTATCATTCACGGATTCGGGTTTACCTCGTTAAAATGGCCTAAATCAGATTTTATCTATATATAAAAGAGTTATATGAATCGAATAGTTTTGAAAATGCCTCAGGAACTCCGAATATCAAATATCATAATGTAATATATACGTTAATGTATTTAAATATAGATGGACAATCTTTCCAATGATCTTGGAAAAATAAACAATTTCGATTCCATGGACATATGTTTAATGTCCGTTACGGTACAATATTTTGCAGACGTATGAGCTGATTCAATTCTATTAGTTTTATAATTTTATGTATAATGAAAACATATTGGTTCCTTTGTGCTTTACAATGCTGTGAAACCATCAACAAAGGTTTCATAGATTAGTAAAAAGCGCTCCGTACTTTACGTATAAGAGTTCCATGTTAAGTAAGCAGCAAAATGTGAGATATCCGTACTTTCAATATCTAGGCTTAGAATCATGTTTCTGAATCTTGAAGTAGCACCTTGAAACAATTACTATTTTATCAAATTGAATATGAAATTTACCGCGATACTGTTTCTAAATTACACTTTATGTTTTGGGGAACTTTTGACAAGCATTGTGGTTTAGGGATTCTGTATTTATCTATTTCATGTAAGTTTTTATTTGGGTCGTATTCTACTTGTATTTAATGATCAAGGCAGCTGTGTATAGACCTTGTGTTATTTTTTATATGCAACTGTTTCTAATAACTTATGTTGATGTGGCTCGTGTAAAGGATTCACAGGTCTTTGTTCATTTATTCTAAAACTAATGTTGTTTTATCGAGGACTCACATTTGCATAATCATAAGCTCGAATTCATTTTTTCCCGTAAAGTAATCATGTAACAATAAAAAATGGTTTGTGTTACCTTTACAGCTTGGGTATAGTTAACGTGACGTAATCAATCCCTCTGGGATGCACACTTATTTTATTTAAGGCTACTTGTAGCATTATCGGCAGCTCATAAGATTTTAACTTTACCTTGTGCTCAAAAAATAACTTTAAGAAATTTATAAAACCTTCACAATTTGTAACAGCATAAAATCTTAAAGTGTGTTTAATATAAACAATGCGCCATATGTTGTCAATTTACTTGGTATCATCAACAAGGACTCTGACTAAATAATATGACCATGACCTTTTAGAAACAGTTCTTTTTATCAAACATATAGATCACCTAGATTATTACATCAATACCAAGTACCAAAGTTCAAATGTCATGCAAGGTATGTAAATAAAAAACACCAGTCAGAACGTTATTTGATTCTTTTAATTGTTTGAAACCTTTAAATTTGAAAAAAAAATAAAACTAACAAGAAACAAGTAACAAGTACATGGATTTAAAAATTCTTTGCCCAGGTAAGTTCCTGTATATTTCTGAAAGAGATCTAGAAGAAATACATTTTATTCCCTGAATCACGGTGCACAACAATGTCCGAAAAGATCATTTAAAGACACTTTATGATTCTATTTTGAAATGAAATATAATCAACGTCTATCGAGTTCGGTTTATATTTACTCAAAAAAAATCAGTTGTCGATAAAATATGATACACATACACAAATAATGAAAAAAATGGCAGCGTTCGTTAACATTTATAAAATATAAGACGTTAAGTAACGCTGCAGGATATCTTTTTTAAATAAATTGTTATTTCAGCACTTGAAAAAGTAATCATCTTAAATATTTTATGCTTAGAGTGAAAGTTCGCACATATATTTGAGTGTACGTTCACACGAATCTGCGAACCAAGCTCCAGCCGATGCATCGATATAGATACAATCCAGATCATTGTCATTGTAACCAATGCTTGTGCCTACTTCGGAGAGGTCAACAGTTGCTCCTGAATATTCCCACAAAAATATACCTTCTGATTTTATGTCGTTTAATCCCATCCAAACGTCTGAAAAATAATGTTGTAAAGTCCCAATGTACAATTTTGTTTCTTTAGATACCAAACGTTCAAAAGTAACGTTGTGTCCCATGTTTAAATGTGAAACAAGAGCCATTTGCAGACTGTTAAAACTCCCCGTCGAACAGAAAAAGTGCCATAAAAAGCGGATCATTATTTGGCACCGACTGACATTTAAGATTAAAAAAATAGGTTTGTGATAATAGCTTTACTTTTCTGCTAAATGTGGAACAATTATGAAAAATAAAAAAGGAATGACTTCCAAACCATAAAAGGGTAGGACTCCCATTCCTGTTTACGCATTTCTCTTCAAGGGGATCTATCTGGCTATATATCCGATCATCATGCTAATGTGTACAGTTAGTCATAGGTCTATCGGTAGCATACGCAGTTTGCGTTTTAAGATAATTCATCAAAATTATAAGAGATACTATAATGCTTTATCTTTTTGTTAAAACTATTTATATAAGACATTCGTCGAAAGGACCTGTGTGTTCATTTAGATATCTTCGCCTATGTAAGAAGATAAACTTAATTTTATAAAATATAGAATATCTATATAAACTTATACGGATGAGATATTGCCATATCCCTAGCAATCTTTAATGTGAGGGAAAAGATGTAATTCAGATGTTTCATATCGCATACAAAATTAATATAAATTTGACTTTTCTAGAAAGGTATATATTTTAATACAACACGTCTTTCATGTTACTGTTTAGGTGATTGTTTTGTGACGGTTATATTTTGGCCCGAGGGCATTTTAATATCTATATTTTTATTGTATGCTGACACTGTTGTTGTTATGTAATGGATACAGTACGAGTTTTTCGTCGAAAGTGTCTTCTTACAGACGTAAGACGACAGTTTGCTAGGATAAACAACAAATTGTCCGAGGCGAAGCCAAGGATAAGTTATTGTTTGTCTTAGCGAACTGTCTTCTTCACGTCTGTAAGAAGACACTTTCGAAGAAAATACAAGTACTGTAACTGTATCAGACTTATAAGAGGTTAAAGTGAAAAGAACAGATAAATTTATAAACACATTTATTATAACTATATCTAATTTAAATTAAATGTATGTTCACGTTGATAATATAAAACTATGGAAAATATTTGCATGGCCTTTAAGCTAAGGGTAGTGAAAGGTGTAGGTAAAATTGTATTCGCACGGAATTCTCGTGCACTTATTTCAATCGCACTTACTTTACTTTTATTCATGATAAACAATATTTAAATTGCTACCATCGTTGATGTCATTAAAACCGTCCCTGATCATATTATGCGTCAATGTTAAATGAATAAATGGATATCGTTTAGGACCCCAAATTTGGTAAGTTTTCTTATTTACAAGCTTAGATTTACACAATGTATAGCTGGATATGGCCGAAGTTTTTTTGTGAGTTGGAGTGGGATGTAAATGTTGCTGATTTTTTATAATGTCAGACGATATACCAAAAAAAGAAGATAGAGTTTGAGCATCATCCAACGAACTATTGTTTTTTTTTTTTGTCAATGCTAAAATCAACAGTGACTTTGTTCCTGGAAATGGCCATCCAATTGATTTCATTCATTACTACAACTTTCAGTCAGTTTCTATGGTGTCCTGTTTGAGGCAGTTAAAATATCCCTGTTACGATTTAAGAGTAACTTAATCTCTTGTTTACGCTTGACTATTCAAAAAGTAGAAGAGCTATAGTAAATATGAATTTTGACAAAACAATGGCTCTTTAAAATTTAAAAAAAAATACATTATTCAGGCTCTTGATTTACAATCAAGCACTGACAACAGTCGAGCGCACTGGCTCTTGTTAATATACATGTATAAGTAGCGAGCTTTAACATTCTCTTTCGAAGAACTTTCACTTTAGACACTAGTACTGTAAATAGGTTAAAGTTCGGGCAAAAAACATGTAAAAATTAAGTTTTATCATCGCCAAGATTTCTACCTTTTGATTCGCACGATAATGAAAGTATGAGAAAATATAAGCACGAGACAAATTCAACGTTGAATGGCGCGAAATGTTTCTTGCGAGAATGTAAAATCTTGCTACTTTATCTATAAAAGTATAGAAAGGCGGGGCTAGACTATAGGAAAGAAATAGAACATACCAAGAAGAGTCCTTTAACTGGCCAAAGCAGAAAACCATACATTTCAACTGTATTAAACGCACTAGGAAAGTAACGGTTATCTAAAAGTGTCTTCTTACAGACACTTCTAGAATAGCTCTGCTATGGGTATAGTCGTATGAATTACTTTGTCAAAAAAAAAAGATTTCCAAAACATATACTTTATATACCAATAGCTCTACTCTAAAGATTTCTAACATTGTATACATTGTTTATGTCAGTGAAGTAAATACAAATATTCATAACGATGTTTATCATACACTTTATTGTAAATTATACTGATTTTTTCCTTATAAAAGTGTTCATTATATTACACGTGAATTTAGAGGTCTTTCGTTGATAGGAAAAGGTATCCTTTAAGGTCGTCAAGTCTGTCTTAATAAAAAGTGCATGGCGCGTTGACATTTCCATAACGAGTCAAAGGCCATCCCCAAAACTCCTTTTTTAATAATATGAATGAAATTTTCTAAAACATAATAAATATAATGTAGCTGTCACATATTAATATAAAAATACTATAAATCTAAGACGAGATGTTTTACTCTCCACTACCTTTGCCCTGAAAACTTGCTCTTGTGCAGCTTCGATCTGCATAACGTCATTGTTTTAAGCAAGTGTTAGAAAATATGACTGTTTCTAAAAAAATGTTCTTTAATGATATTGTTTTTTCATAAATTATCAAAATCAAATCGTTCGAATGTGTCCTTTGAGATCTGATTTCATTATTGAAAAAATGCCAAATAGTTAAAGATTATTAATGGAGCAATAAAATTTCCAAAATATAACTTGATAGCGTTCTTTTGCAACCTTTATATTTAAACGTCAAAATCAATTCGAACGTACATGTGTAGTTTGTTTGATGACAACTTATCGATTACAGCGAAGGGCTCTTTCCAGTGAGATGCATTCGTGCAGGAACTGGTTCCGCATACACGTTTTCTATCTGACGTTCAAAACATTGTTAGTTATAGTCTTTTTAAGAATGTGTAATTAGTTTAATACACAAAATGAGCAAAACAACTGAGGAAAGGCGCCGTTTAGTTTTAATTGTGTTGCTATGGAGTAAACTCCAACCAAATAAAAACAATTATAAAGCTGGTCCCTTTTAAATGCGTTTATGTTATAATGATTTATAACTTACAATAAAAGCCGATCCAGTCTCCAATAAACTTGTTTTCAGAGGGAGAGGTGATTTCAACAAGGTGTCCTTGTTTTGATTCGCAGTCATTCTGCAGAAGATAAAGCAACTTCATTTATTAATGATTTTAAATAATCACATCTGTGCCCTATTGTATTTAAGTACAGACGTTTGATGTGAGGTTATTTATTTTATTTCTCTCTCTATAAAATCATTTTCTACGAGAGTATTTGCAAAGAAAAATATAGCAAAGCAACTTCAAATTTAAGGGACTTGTGTCATCTGTATGAAATATTTAGATATAAAAAAGATATATTTGATACTTGTAGTTTTCTTTTGATAAAGATAAAACTATTTTTGTTTAATTTCGCTGAAAACCAATTCGTTATCGTGACAGTGAGGGAAAAAATGTCAATGTCGATGCCTTATCAAACTGAAATAATTGTTTTTATTGATGATATTAAACATAAATATGCTTCTTTTTAAAAGTTTTTATTATAATTGTTTTGCTTTTTTAGTTCATAATGTTTGTCAGAAATCGACGTTCAGCATTGGGATTCAAGGGCTACAGGAATTGTAAGTACGTATCATGTATAGCCTCAGCAATGAATTTGTTATGAGATCTTTAATCACCTTAGTTTTCAACAAAATAATAATAGAGTTGATTTATAAAACTGACTAAAGATTTGTAGTTTATAAGTAGCTTCATATACTGCATAACTTAAAAACAAAAGTACAGTTGTTAAGTAACGAAACTCAACTTTCTTAATACGTTCACTATTTTTAGCCTCGCCCCGGGATCATTGATTTATCTTATAGGTATTTATAGATAACTTAAAATTTTCTTTTTAATCTTCATCTTCGAATGAGTTTCTACCACGTTTCTTCAAATCAAAGCCCTGGGATCAAAATTGGCCCCGCTCTATGATTTTATTGATTTTCTTTACATGTACACACCCTTTGTAACTGTTTTTTCCTTAAGCAATATCAATCAGTAATGTTTTAGATTTTATATCTGCTTTTGTTTATAGTTACTGTATAAATATAACTTGTTTCATGTCGTGGATAATTTTTATATTCAGGTTAGTGATTTCAGGACAATCATGGTCCTCTTGTTTAAAGTTCGAAAAGAAATAATATACGGAATAACATTTGTTTGCCAGATACGGAAGTTGTTTCATAACGATCTGAATGCAAGTTTTTCCAACTTATTTTATATCTACAGCACTGCTTGAAAATATGTTATAGTCGAAATATGTTATTATGAAAGAATACTGTCCGTTTCTTATAATCTGAAGAACGTATTAAAAACGATATCTTTCTAAAGATGTTCAATAAAGCAAACACATTTTATCCTTCAAAGCAGTAGAGGTGTCGGTTTTACAACAAGCACTGCGCGTACGCGATGGACTCAGTATGAAGAATAAAATATCGTTTTATAATAAGAATGACATCATTTTTTATTCTCTTCCGGAAATAAACATAGTGTTGGGCATGACACTGGGGTCAGGTTCTTGTTCTTAAACAGAAAGATGATGAAACTTATGAAGCAGTTAATGCGGTAGCATTAAGGTGATATGTGTGTGACTCTATAGATCTCTTGCGCACGAGATACTATATCGTGGTAACGAGTAACTAAGTCGTGGCCACGAGAAAGATTAGTCGTAGAAACGAGATACTTTGTCTTGGACACGTGTTATTTAGTCCTGATCACGAGATATTTTAGTCGTAGGCACCAGATACTATGTCGTAACCACAAGTCACTTAGTCATGGCCACGAGATAAATAAGTCTATTCCTCCCTTCTCCCTCCTCTTCATCCTTCTCCCTTCTTCTCCTCCTTCTCCACAACACTCCTCCTCACAACCACCTCTTACTCATCCTTCTCCGACCGCCTCCTTTCTCCCCCAAAATCGTTTCTTTTCAACACATTTTCAACTTTCCCTCCTCCCCCCTTTCCTCCTCTTCTCTTCTTTACCCTCCTCCTCAATCCTCCTCATCCGTGGTCGAGGGGTTAGAGTCGATGACTTCTAATCCAGTTACCTCTCTGTGGTGGGTTCGATCCCCGGGAGGTACAGTGGTAGTTAAGCTCGGAGGAAGGTAGTCTAGTACTGGTGTAACTCTCCAGGAACGATGGTAAGAAAACTACCAACTTATATGACTGAAATACTGTTGGAAAAAGTCGTAAAATTAAACAAACGGACAAACTAATTCATCTTCCTTATTCCTCCTCATCATCATTGTTTCTCTTTATCCCTTCTCATCCTTCTTTCTCGTCCTCCCTCCTCCTTCTCACTTCTCCTCCTTCCTCCCCCTCCTTGATAAACTGTGCTTTCAGAGTGATGTGTCACGCTTCATTTCCTAGAATGCGATGTTTGGAAACAATCAAATGACGCTCATGTCATTCAGTCAAATCACTATATTATCAACCAATCAAAATGCGTCACTGTCAATCAATTACAATGCAAGATATGTTTCATAATGACAGGACTGTATACGCATTGGTCATTTTTGGACCCTTTTATTGAATATAACCTCTTCAGCCATTTTGTTTTGATACGTCACACAGATGGTGGTGTCTAACAGAAAACATCCACGATAAAAGTTATATTTACTAATAGGTTAAAATTATTCTTTTTTAAATGTTGTAAAATGAAGAAGAAAAAAAAACATTTCGTTATTTAATGTATTTTTGCATCAATCGTTATGATTTTATAAATCGTAATAATTTAACAGATGGATAAATCTTTCCAATATCGTACGTATATACATCTTTACAAATTCTCGACAATGCCGGCTCTACGGTTTTTTGTTTGTGTTTTTTTTTTTTAATTCAAATGTAATCTTTCTTAGAAAAGAATATGAAATAAGACTATAATGAAATAATTCGGTATACTGAAATATAAACCTTTGTATAGAATCCTGATGTCATTTTGAATATAGAATATAATATTTCCTGGAGATTGAATATAAAATAAAGAGGTTATTATGAAAATAATGATGCGTCATTCTTCATTTATAGTCCAATATAATGCCGCTTCTTTCTGAGGATGTAAATAGAAATTTAAGTAACGATCAATATGACATGCGCAATAAGAGATGTTAAAAATCTGGACGTCAAATATAGCCATAAAAGTAATATTTTCGGTTAAATTATATCTACTTTTAACGTTGTAAATGTGACACAAGATTGTTAACAAGTTTTTTTCTATATTTGAGCAGTGTGACCTAGTTTCTGATCCCAGGTAAGCGACATTTAAACTTGACCTAGGAATCACCAAACAAATTTTCAGACGAATTTCAAGGATATTTGGATCAGACCAGTAGCTACTAGAATGGAAATAAGGCTTTTTTATTTTACGGTCCTTTGATATAGTTTTCCTTCGGAGATAATCCATGTTCAAACTCCTCTCAAATATTATCGGAACAAGAATTTTGACAAAGTTTAATGATTATTTAGTAAAAATGTGACGCGAGCTCAGGTGAGCTTATAAAAGAAATGATATTACTTTGGCATTTTCCCATGTTTTCTCATGCTTGGCTTCAAGCAGATAACAACTTTTTTCGAAAGTGGTCCATCCTTCAGGACATTCTAAAATTAAACACATTTCAACAAAATAACATAAAAAAATACAATAGGAAAGCATTATTAAAGTAAGTGAAGAAAAACAAAGTGAAATACATTTATTTTGAGCAGTTAGGCGTGAGTCTTTACAACCATATTATCAAATACTTATTATATCATTTTAAAACACATATCAATAAAATCATTACATCGCTGCGAAAAAATTGTAGTACATGAAATACATTTACAGATACCATCTTAACTTTTTAAGACTATATAAAGGACAAAAAATTGTCAATTCTTTATAAAAAAAAATTATCATTAATAGGTTATAAATATAGACTGAAAATAAATTCATCAAGATAAAAATTAACGGACATAGGTTTAATTTTCAACGTCATAGTAATGATGACTTTCGATTGTGCAAACACAACTTGAATATATCATTCAATAAATGCAATTTATTATAGCTAAATATTTGAAAATTGCAAACTATAAGAATGTGTGAAACTTAATAAAAATATTTGAAAGTTACGTTAGAAACCATTCTGGTTTTATTTAGGGGACTTTAAAACCGAGACTGAAGCAATTTTGTCGTGTTTTTTTTGTGCGTTCTTTGGGGATTCTTTATTTCTATTTTTTCGATTAATTAATATGTTACATATTTGTAAGTTATTTGGTTGAAAAGAATATCTTTTTAAGACCACTGTGAATTTCAACCTTTAACGTCATGGAAGAAAATCAATATGTTTATCTGTAGCTTTATCCTATAATGAAGATGTATTTTCCTGTTCCAGATTTTGATTTTTTAAAAACGTTGCCGGTTTAACTGTTCTTTGATCAAACAGTGTGTCAAAAGAACCTTCAGATATAGCTTATTGCGTTTAATTTGAATTACATTTATACAAGTCAAAATGTTAACAAAAGGTATCTGAAGGATTTAACCTGAACTCTGCGAGTCGGATGTGTCGCCTTGTGAACAATATAGTTAAGGAGAAATGGCCAGGACAAAAATGAAATTTGAAAATTAACAAAGGGCAATAACTCAAAAAAATAAGAAATAAAGAGCATCAGTTTCTTTACATTGCAATTCATCAATACGATCTTTCATCCTATGAAGTTTCAAGAATAAAGCTTTTATAATTTATGAGAAATGGCTTGGACAAAAATAAAGTCTGAAAATTAATAAAGGGCAATGACTCAAAAAATGAGAAATGCAGAGTACCAGTTCCTAAGAACTGCACTTCTTCTAAATAAGATCTATCATCCTATAAAGTTTTATGTCCATAGCTTTTATACTTCAGGAGAAATGGCGATGACAAAGATAAAGTATGAAAATTAACGAAGGGCAATAACTCAAATAATAAGAAATGCAGAGTACCAGTTCTTTTGCACTGCACTTTTTCTTAATGACTTTTATCATCCGATGAAGTTTCAAGTCCATAGCTTTCATACTTAACGAGAAATGGTTATGACAAAAATAAAGTATGAACATTAACAAAGGGCAATTACTCAAAAAATAAGAAATGCAAAGTACCAGTTCTTGTAGGCGTCACAAAAAGGACGGATAATGTACACATTTAAATATACTTTTAGATATACCTTTCCAGTTTCCAAAATGCCAAAATCAACAGAGCATATACCTGAGTTATTTTCAACCACTTTAACTTGAAACATCAAACTTCATTGACAGCGAATGGGAAATACGTGAAATCATCATCCAATTTACAAAGAATAGCTTCTAAATATTTTTGTTTCTGGAACATTTTATTCTGTATCTGTATAGTATTCATATGAACGTCGCATTATTTCATCGTTTTTAAGCAAAGCCCCCATCAGAAATAGCTTTATACTCTTTTGTATTCTATACATACACGTCATAATGTTTACAAAAGAGCTCTGAATGGTTTAAAAAGAACAAAAATGTACACATTGTAATATACTTTAAGCAGCCTATGTTTTAGAATCACAAATGCCAGTATCAACAAAGCATATACCTGAGTAATTTTCAACCAAATAAAGCCATATTAGAAACATCAAACTTTTACTAAACGAAGCAAACAAGGACAATACACAAAACACAAATTCAATATTGTATCGGTAGCGTTATCCTACCATGAAGTTGTGTATTCCTGTTCCAGAATTATTTCTTAAACGTTGTCCTAGCGGTGCATTTTGAATAGATAAATATTTTTTTCAATAAAAATATAAGACGATTAACTAATGCAAACAATATAAAGGTGATAAACAAAAAATCAGATAATGTGTACAATACATAAAAGGTAATAGGGTGACAAATCTTTTCTTAAATCACCCATACAGTAATACATAATTATAATATAGCTTTTATTCATTACCGTCCGAGCTAGCATTGAAGTTAAAAGTACACATTACAAATGCATACTAGATAAAACTGTGTTAATATTTTATAAAGATGAAAATGGTACAAATTGAAATTGACCTTTATTGAACATCTTGGTGGTGTTTCCCAACTGCCAGGGTCAAAATGTATACAAAGACCTCTCAATGATTCAAAAACGTCGAATAATGTACAATTTTAATATAATTTTAACGACCCATGTTCCAGTTTCCCAAATGCCAAGTAAACAAAGCATATACCCGAGTTATTTTCAACCACAGAAATCAATATTAGAAGCATCAGACGTAAATCAAACAAAGGACACCATGATAATCAACTGTTTCAATAATAACCATTACCATATAAAAACCAAAATGTAAATATAGACGTACTGACATAGGACGACTAACGGTATATAATCACAATTAATCACATGACAAACGACCATCATTTTGGATATTTTAAATGGAAACTCAAATCTGGAGTGATAAATATTTAACATAATTGTAAGAATTTGGGAAGGAACAAATATCTTTATCAGATCACAGTGACCTTAAAACAACTTTAAAGTAATGAAAAAGATTCAATATTATATCGTTCACGTTTGCCTACCAATGACGTTGTTTATTCCTGTTCCAGATTTTATTTTTTTAAAGTTGTCCTAGTGGTGCATTTTTGAATAAATAAATACTTTTTTTCAATAATATTTTAAGACGATTAATGAATGCAAACAATACAAAAGTCTCATTAACAAAATGACCATATTATGTGTATATACAAGGTAATACTGTGACAGATCTTTTTTAAAATCTATTATGCAGATAAACACATAACATATTTATAATCCACTAACGTCCGGGCTTACATTGTTTTAAAAGTATACATAACAAATGTATTCAAATTTGACAAAGTTCTTAAAATTAAATAAATGGATATTGATACAAATTAAAATTAACCTTTAATAGAACAGTTTGGCGGTGTTTCCCAACTACCAGTGTCTAGACAGCTTATTGTCCCATTTCCGTCATATCCTCTATCACATGCAAGAGAAGCGGTTGATCCAAACGTTGTTCCGATATAGTTCAAATTACCATTGGTCACATTTAATGGAGTCCCACAGTCTGAAAATCGTTAAATTCACTATTTACATTTAGAATTAAGATCAAGACATAGAAAATGAGCAGGAAATGGTTTATATTCATCCTCATTGTAGGCGATTTACCAGAATCCTTAGAATGAAATAATCCTTCAGGATATTTTATTGTCAGCGATCGGGGCATGCGTGAAATCATCGAGCAATATACAAAGAATTGGCTGCTAAATATTTTGTTTCTTGTTTTGATTTTTAAAGTATTCAAAAGAAAACGGCATAATTTTACCTTTTTAACGAATACAACTTCAGATAAAGCTTAAAATTCTTCTACTTGAATTTAAAAGATACACGTCAAAATGTATACAAAGAGCTCTAAATGGTTCAAAAACGTCGAAAAATGTACACTTTAAATATAATCTTAACGGCCCATGTTCCAATTTCACAAATGCCATTAAACAGGGCTTATACCTGAGTTATTTTCAACCACATAGAGCCATTTTAAAAGCATCAAACTTAAATCAAACGAAGGAAAAAATGATAAACAACTGCTTCTATTATAACCATTATCACATGAAAACCAAAATGTAAAGGCAGACGTACTGACATAGGAAGACAAACGGTATACGTAAAATCACAAAAAAATCACTTGAAAATCGTTGTTCTTTGTTGATATACAAAAGTGAGTAGAATGTGCTCTGGTCAGCTAAATACAACGACCATTTCTTTATATTTGAGTGTAAATTTAAGACTTCTATTGATTTATATTTAACATAACTGTAACGATTTTTGAGAGAACATAAATCTTTATCAGATCACGGTGACCTTAAAACTTAAACGTCATGAAACAAATTCAATATCTTTTCGGTTACGTTATTCTACAAATAAGTTGTATCTTCATGGGACATATTTTAATTCTTTTACGTTTTCCTCATGGTAAAATTTTAAATAGATAAATATAATGTTTCAATATATAACATTAGACAAGTAATGAATGAAAACAATATAAAGGTGATAAACGTGTGCAAAATACCTGTAAGGTAATACTGTGACATATGCTTTATTATATCACCAATACAGTTATTTATTATATACTTATAAATGAAATATTGAGAAGTATTGATGAAATAAAATGCGTATTTTAATTTTCCGTATTTTCACTGTAAAAATCTATTTTTCACTGCAGTGAAACATATTTTCCGTATTTTCACTGGTGTCTTGCCGGACTACTTTCTTTTTAATTCTGCCAGTACACAAAATTTAAGGTAAAGTCTTTCAAATTTAAATGTCAAAAAAGAGAAAAATGTATATAATAAACAGAAAATTCAAGTTTTTTCTATAAATACATGATTTATTTTCATCTTGTGGCATGAAAATTACCATATTTCACTCGTGGCTACCACCACTCATGAAATATTTATTTTCATACCACTCGATGAAAATAAATCATGTATTTATAGAAAAAACTTGAATATCCTCTATATATATAATATTACATTAATCCATAAACGTCCAGGCTTACATTTTAGTTAAATGTATACATAGCAAATGTATTGACAAAACTTCTTTATATTTAAAAATGATGGGAATTGGTACAAATTGAAATTGACCTTTTATAGAACATCTTGGTGGTGTTTCCCAACTGCCAGTGTCAAGACAGCTTATTGTCCCGTTTCCATCATAGCCTTTATCACAGACAAGAGAAGCGGTTGATCCAAACTTTGTTCCGATAAAGTGCAAATTTCCATTGGTCACGTTTTTTGGAGTCCCACAATCTGGTTAATGGATAAATTCATTATTTACATTAAGAATTTAAATCATGAGCGGAAAAAAATGGGTTATTTGTAACTTCTTCATAACAATTTACCAGAATCCTTGGAATTTCTCAGAAAGAATTTATCTGTATATTTTATTATCAGCGAGCGGGGTATGCATAAAATTATCGAGCAGTTAACAAAGAATGGCTTTTAATTATTTTGTTTCCGGAACATTTTATTTCATGTAAAACCCGTAAAAATCTAAACAAATACACATTGAGATATAGCTTGATACTCTTTTATTTGAATTTAATATAAACACGTCATAATGTATAAAAAGAGCTCTCAAAGGCTCAAAAAGGTCGAAAAATGTACAATTCTAATATAACTTTGACAGCCAATAGTGCCAATTAAACAAGCAAATTCGTTGAATTTATATCCCCCGCCGAGTGCTGGTTATTATTAACACAACAACTGAAGACATAAGGCTTTATTTATATATTAATCATGACATAAACAGTAATATTCTTTGAACTTGATAAACATTCAGGGCAATAACAGAGCCATAACTTTGTGTTAAATAGAAACATCTGGAAATGCCAATGAGATGTATGCATACTACATAACTAATCAAGAGCCATAAATCTGGGTTATGAGTATCTGACCGGAACAAACCGACGATATGCACATCTCCTCTTAGTATCCCATAAAGTTTCATTGAATTCCAGCCAGTTAAGTAGCAGAGAAGTATCGAGGAAACAAATATTTTTCTATATGGATACTGCATAACTAATCAAGGGCCATAACTCTGAGTTAAGGTGTCTGACCGGAACAAACCGACGATATGCGAATCTCCTGTTGGTATTGAATGTTCCCATAAAGTTTCGTTGAATTCCAGCCAGCAATTGCAGAGAAGTAGTGCGGAAACGATTTTTACTCTATATATGTATGCATACTACATAACTAATCAAGGGCCATAACTCTGAGTTAAAGGGTCTGACCGGAACAAGCCGACGATATGCGCATCTCCTCTTAATATTGATGATTCCTATAAAGTTTTGTTGATTTCCAGTAAGAAGTTGCAGAGAACAACTCCTGAAACGATTTTTATCCATATGCATATTGCATAACTAAGCAAGGGCAATAACTCTTAGCTAAAGTGTGTTACCGGAACAAGCCGACAATATGCGCATCTCCTCTTGATATTGTTGATTCCAATAAAGTTTCGTTTAATTCCAGCCAGTAGTTGCAGAGAACTACTCCGGAAACGATTTTTACTCTATATGCATACTACATAACTAATCAGGGCCATAACTCTGAGTTAAAGGGTCGGACCGAAACAAGCCGACGATATGCACATCTCCTCTTGATATTGATGATTCCCATAAAGTTTTGTTGAATTCCAGCCAGTAGTTTCAGAGAACTACTCCAGAAACGAAATTGGGACGGATGGATGGACGGACGGACGGAAACGCCAAAACTATATCCCCCTCCCGATTCCATCGGCGGGGGATAACAAAGCATATACTTGAATTATTTGAAACAAAAAAAAAGCTATATAAGAAACATGAAACTTTAACTAAACAAAGAAAACAAGGACAATCAGCTGTGTCTTATTATAACCGTAACCACATAAAAAACCAAAATGTAAGCGCAGACTTACTGACATAAGACGACAAACGGTAAATAATCACAGTAAAACACATTACTTTATGATTCTTTGTTGAGCTACAAATGTGAGCCGAATGTGCTCTTGTCAGCTAAAAGACAACGACGAGTTTTTAGTGAAAAACTCGGGCGTCAATTAAATAATAAAAACATAATGGTAAACATATAACTTTATCAGATCACTGTGACTTTACATCTTTAACATCATGAACCAGAATAAATATCAATCGGAAAGGGTTTCCTACCATAAAATTGTATTTTCCTGTTTCAGATTTTTATTCTTAAATGTTGCCCTAACGGTACATTTATGAAAAGCTATATTGATTATGTCAATACTAAAATAAGACAATTAATGAATGAAAACAATTAAAAGGTGATACACAAGAAATAAAATAATATGTACAAAAAAGAAACACGATGACAAATATTTTAAAATCATGTATACATTAATACATAACTATAATAGATTTATAATTTGTTACCGTCGGGGCTTACATTGTAGTTATAAATATACATAAAATGCATTACAAATGTTTTGACAAAAGTTTTTATTGATAATATATAAAGGTTTGAAATTGATACAAATTGAAACTGACTTTAAATAAAACATCTTGGTGGTGTTTCCCAAATGCCAGTGTCAAGGCAGCTTATAGCCCCGTTGCCAGCAAATCCTTTGTGACAGACAAGAGAAGTGGTTGATCCAAACATTGTTCTGATATAATGCAAATTACCATTGTGCATAATCTATTTAATCCAAGTCTTTACCGATAAAAATGTAATCACATTTTCTTCAATTTTGATCGAGAATACACTAACAGTTAAATACATTTTGATTGAATTTTCATTAAACGTCCGTAATACAACATATTTAATGTATTGCTTCACATATTAATAGATGATTTTTTAAAATTAATAAGATATTAATTGCATTTATTCAATTTTGCTCTTTAAATATGTATTTTTAAGAAGCTTCAGGCGTACTTTTACATACTGGTGATTTATGTTAATCATATAACTCTTGATTTATTTCTCTGATGAAATGTAACTCATGTTCATAACCATGAAATTACGTAATGACTCGTAAAAATGGAAAAAACTCAGAGTTTGTGAGAATTATTTGGCTATAAGTATGCTGTCATGAAATGTGAGACCAAGATTAGAAAAAAAATAATTCATTATGCGATGGCATAACTGAACATTATGTTCATCTTCTTCAAAACCTATTTTAAACAATAAAACATTTTCCACATCTTGCAATCAATCATTTTGTTGTAATAACTCGCAAAAGTATTTTTATAATCTATATTTTTAATTGTAAAAATTGTTTGACTCGTACCTGCCGAACATAGCTTACATATAGTTGTGTGTACTTAGTAAATAACATAGCAAAATATAGATAAGAAAGAGAAAATCAGACCATATTTCCATTGAAATAAGCAGTTATCAATTAATCTCCACAGAAGTATGTGTACTAGCTTGGAAACAGTTTTATTATATTTTTAATATAATATATTGGTAACAATTTTGTATCTAATAAAAACTAAACATTACCTTTGATTTTGCATCTTGCTGTTTCCCATTTCCCGGTGTCCAAACAAACTATTTTTTCTTGGTTGGCTCTATAACCAGGGCTACATTTTACAGTCGCTGTTGCTCCATATGTTGACGTTTTTGTTTTGTCAAGGATGACTCGTCCACTTACAATTTTTTTAATAGGACCACAGTCTGACAATGTATAGAAATATGGTTAAAATAAAAACATTCATAGCCCATCAAACTGATCCTAAAATATTTGTTTTCCAAGATAGATAGAAATGCTAAGACTTTCAAGGAAATTTTGTGGAAAATAATTTTGCTTTATAAACAACCAGACACTGATACAGTCCTTGTGACTTCAAGTCTGGAATACAGGTGTTACTAAAATACTTGTTAAGCTGACTACAATAAGAAGCTTTCATATATTGTTGCCTCCTTTTCCAATATAACACAACGGATTTTAATGCCGTACGACTGTGATCTAATTGAGGTTGTTCGCAATCTATTCTATTCATTCACTTTTCTTTTAGAAGTTAGTAATCACAGTTTGTTCAATATTGTATACATCAACAGTGAAATTTATTTTGATGTTTGTCATTGAATGTTTTTACTAAAAGGTAATATAATTATTTGTTATAGATAACGGTCTCGTTAACAAATCAGGAGATCTTTTTATAAGACTTAGTCCTTAAACATTGGGGCCACTTATCTTCCATTTAAAGACAGAACCAAGCGGGATATTTACTTTACTTTAAAGGGATGACAAAATAACGACTGTGTACACTGTACTTCCTGTAACGAATCATTATAATTGTTTGAAATGTGATTCAATGTTATTCAAATTCATTTAACACAATTGTTAATTATTTCTGGGATAGAATTATGGTTCTTTAACTCTGTAATTTCATTTACTTAACATGTATCACTGTCTGACATGTTATTTTGAAATTCTTGTTATATCATTTAAGAAAATTTATCGGGATAAAGTTCTTTAACACTTTTCCTTCTGTCTCCAGTCTTAGAAAAAATGAAGTTCCTATGAGATATTATTCAATTTGATAAATATAAGTTAACATTGGACAAGCAATACTAGAATATAGAGAGACTATTTAAGAAAGGGAGACTTATCGGTTTTGACAGTGCACTTCCTCTAATTGATATCTATCATTTTGTGAAACTTAATCAAATTTCTTATCACTTAACCTTGATCACTGGGAATACATATTTAATTTTAAGGGAACATTGCAATGTAATCTATGGCTTTTTGACACTGCCAGTCCTCTTACTGGTCTCTTCTGCTGTTTCGAGATAGAACTCCATGTTTCCTATAGGAAAAGTAGGTTTTATGAATAAAATATCAACTTTTAGTCAGAAACATAGACACATTCAACACATTATACTCGTACTTTTTCTCTCCCTCTTTTAAAGCTGCTTTTCGCGAACTTTGTGTAATATCTGTATAAAATTTGATCATGAATGTGGCCATAAAATGATTATATGAAAGGACCTTTAAACAATTTAAAGATCAATGAGAAAACAAAAACAAACAAGGAGCTCAATAAAATAAATAATTGCACCTTTCCTGATGATATATATGTATATTTTTACACTTCAAATCAAATTTAATTTCTTAGAATTGTTTGCTGTTCTTTATCTATGAATTTGCCTAAATATGCTTTTTAACATGTGAAAAAAGCAGTCCAGCAATTAAGTATACACGATGTGGGTCTATACAATATATCACTTTTATGCACTTATACATGTCCTTATGTCATACGATTTGAAAGAAGTTTGTTTCAATTTTCATGTTTTTATGTGACTTTAACTCTATATAAGGGAAATATACAATAAATGTAAGCTATGAAAGTTATCTTAAAACATCACTATCCATCAAAACAAAATTTAATTTTATTCCTTATTAAATTACATTTGAATTAAAATAGAGTCTTTATTAACAAATAACTCTTATTTTAGACGTTACAGCACCTTTAAGGTGCCTATTGTACCCTTTAGTAGCACATCATTACACATTACACTATTAAAGAACACAAATCGTGCGTATTTAGAGCAAAAGCAACACAATTAAATTTACACTGAATAATTGTATTAGTTACTTTAATAGAAATCTAGACAGAGAAAACTCTAAATGTCAACCTCTACGTATGATACTACATAAACATATCATCAGAACATCACCGACCTAAGTGACAGCATATTTCCTTGTCCGATGGGTGGTTGTTCTTTCAAATATATATTTAATTTCTTAGTGTTCATAAATGTACCCAAAAATATCAACTTAATTTACCTTTTATTGTGCAAATGGATTTTTGCCATTTACCGGTTTTTAGGCAGACAATTTTCTGCCGACTTGCTAGATAACCAGGTTCGCATACAATAGTCGCCGTAGCTCCAACGGACGTTTTTGATTTTTTGTCAAGAGACATCTTTCCATTTTGAATGTTTTCGACTGAGCCACAATCTGTAAAATTGTTTTAAAATCTAAAAATATTTTAATATAAACGATATAAGAATAAGCTTACTGAAAGCCTACCACTGAAATGCAATTTACCCAAGTTATCTTTGTGACACAGACATGACTGGAATATATATTGAAACTAAAAAGAAACTTTCTCCAAGTTTGTATGTAGATATATTAGTACAGTTTTTCAATCCTTTTGAAATTCGATTTGTACGTTAAATAAACATATCGGGCTTTTATACGGAGATTAGCTGACCGATTTTGCAAACAAAACGAGTTTTACAAGCTACTACATGTATATAAGTGTGAACGTCTAACTGGTACCCCAGAAAAACTGGCACATACTTTGCAAAAATTTCTTTTTTGGTACAGTATATATAGTTTTGTTATGGAAATAAAATTATCACTTTGAAGATATGTATTGTTTGTTTGTTTTTTTAATCTTTTTTATATTTTTTGCTTCATTCTTGCTCTTTTCTACCTCAACTGCGAAATATCTCATTTATTTCCCACAAGACAGATGAAAACAATTGAAGATAATAACATCATGCAGTTTTTTATCATTTCAGTTCAAATGTAAGTTCATGAAAAAAAAATTTACTCTGATAAAAACCTTTCATGCTGTTATATTTTATATTGAAAGAAATTAAACATGAGACATGAGATTTTCCAAACTTCCAGTGGTATGGTAAAATATTTTCGCTTGTTCTTCTTTGAAAAGAAAGGATTGCATTGATCAGTCGCGGACGCTAATGTTCACGGTATTCTTTTTTCAAATTGATTATTTTTTCAACAGAGCCGCAATTTCTTATTGGTTTTCCTAAACACAAAAGCTAACACATTCAAACAGCGTATTTATAAGTTGTGTATGATATAAGAAATACATTACTAATTGTCTTAAATAAATAGGGAAACAGATCCGAAGAAGCGAGAAAACATTTTTTTATTCAAAAGAATGTCACTTTTAAAAATTTCTTTTCGTTTTTTAACACATTAACTGTATTATTTTTTCCGTGTATTGAGAAGTAAGAACAGTAAGAGGTCAAAGGTCTAGTTTGCATTAACCTTGTATGAAATAACAGTTTCCTTCCAAAAACTGAACAATCCATAGGCCCTTAGCCTTCAAACTTCAAAAGTGCAAATGTCTTTTCAAATAAATTACCCAATCGTTTCTCAATTGTTTTCGACCATTAACTCGTTGCTCTATGGTTCCTGGACTCAACAGGTGAATTGGTATTGGCCAGTTGGTGACCCAAATTATTTTGATCAAGGGGTCAAAAGTCAAGATCACATTGACCTTGTATCTAAAAAGGGTTTCAAACCAATAACTCGACAACCCAATGTCCATTGATCCTCTCACTCACTTACTTACAAGTCCTTGGCCTTGGTCAGTATAATGATCACTTTTGATTTTGCGGTAGACTTGTTAAGATCCGGCTCAATTTGTGCTGGAAGACTAGAAATTAATGATATATGCCACTATCAAAGCGTTCGGCTTTTTAAAGCAATGGAAGATTACAGTTTATGATATCTTTACTAGTTAACATAAAATAGAAGAGTGAGGCCATTCCTTATATAAGAGTCATGATTTATGTCTGTTATGTAGTGGTCAATAAAGCAAATAATATATGATCTGAACATCTTAGTTTGACACAATACAACTTTAATTTATAATATTAACGTGACCCCCTTTCATTGGTTCAAAAAGAAATAACGAGACACGAAATTGCCAGTCTGAGAACAGACGGACTGACAAACATACAACCAGTTGTATAACAATTGACGTCGAAATTGCTCGGGCGCATAAAGAATGTGCATGAAAAATTATGTAAAAACTTCCTTTTATTTAGTACAAAGAAGAAAATCTTAAATTCGTCACTATAATGAACATAATCACAATAACAAAAATCGTCATAAATACCCAAAATGACCGTGTTTATCCAGCTCACTTGCGGTTTAATCGACGCATATGAATAGAACGATGATGCACAAGAATCTAATGACGCAACTGTGAGTCCTTGCAACATAATTTTACTTTTCTTTGATCCAAATATTGGGTTTCCTTGCTAAAATGATGAAAAAAATGCTCCCGTAGATATAATTTCTTTGAAATGTATTTTCTGCCGTTTTAAACAGCCACAAGGCAAAGCACATAAAAAGAATGACATTATTCATATGTGCGGAGAATCTTATTGATAATCTTTTATACATATTGCAATCTAAACTTTAAACTACTTTTGCATTCGCTTGAATGCATTTCATAATAATTAAATAAAAAAAAACATAAACAGTAAAATACTGCTGTTATCTTTATCATTTGGTCAATTCTCGTTAAAAATGTAAAAGAGTGTCTTTGATACTGTATGTGTAGAAATATTTGCGGGCATCAAATTTTCGCGATCTTCGCGGTGACATTCGATACGCGAATTTATGTTTAGCGCGAATATTTCTACACCAATATTTTCTAAATAGTCATATTTTCGCGCTTCTGTTGAATAATGTATATCAGTGTGTGATATGCTTTCAAACTTTTTATCTAAATCTTCACTGAGTAATTGGGTTTTGTTTTCCAAGTTATTCGTCATTTAACATCGTTAATGCTTGTTTTTTTTAATTGTTTATTCAGAAAAACCAAAACATAATCTGATCAGATGTCAAGACTTTTATGACGCAAACTGTGAAAAAAATATGCACGTTAACGGGCATTCTTTTGTTTGCTATAATCTGTACGCTAGACAATGTCTTTTTTTCTGTACAATAGTGTATCGTTTGACACCTGGTATTGAAAATAACTGTGAAATGCCAGAGTGTTCTGCGCGAATTTATGATTTTCGGCAGTCACCTCCGCGAATTCAAAATAGCGCGAATATTTGTATAGACCCCCTTTCCGCGAAAATTTGCTACCGCGAATTTAAATACACATACAGTATTTAAATATGTTTGCGTAAACAGAATGAAGCGTTCCGGAAAAAAATATCATGCAGGTTCTTTGAATACGATAAGTGTTTTACCGTACATGCGCCACTTTCTTTCAAAGAAATATATAAAATATAGTTGTCCATAAAATTTGCAGGTTTTTTTTTTCAATTTTTTTTACAATATTTGTTTTAACTGAAGGCAGCATATATATAGCTTTTTATACCTTACACTGTCTTATTTATTCATTTATTTAAAAACATTATAAGATTAGTTGCAAATTGTAATTTATAAGACATATTAAATGCACTTCAATTGATAATGATTGAAGAAAGTAAATAAAGTTTCATAAAGAGATATAAATCATAACAATTGAACATACGAAACATTTAGTAGTTTTGTCCATGTTGACTTGAAAACATTTGTGTGTCTCTCCAAAATTGCCTTTAATCCCTTTCTTCCAACATTTAATGCCTCTGACAAAAACAACATCATTTGCAGTTACTTTATCTGTAATATCAAAACAATAAGCGACTTTAATAAATTAATAAAAGTAGTATAAGAAATCTAAATCTTCGTAGTATAGTTGTATAGACGTATTTATTTAACAAGACATTAGTTATATGATACCAATTGTACATTATGAACAAACGATCTCTAATCTGAAAGCAATATTTGTCATAAATCAATCTTGTTGTTTTAACTAAGTAATAGTTTGGTATTGTTAATATACCCGTTAAGTATTGAAAAACGACTTTCTATGATATTATCACATGAATCAATCTACGCAATTTAATACATATGCTATAAAAGCAACAAATGTCATAAGTGAAAAGACAGAGGACATTTATACAAAACTTGATTTTTATATTGATAAAAAAATAATAACACAAAACTATATGTCAATAAAAAGAAAAATATCAATACATCAGTTCATGTTACCATTATAATGATTTATATCACCAGTAAATGTTCGTTATTGGACTCGTGGTAGCAAAACATGAGTTGAAGTTTACATTTATATGGACAGGCCCACATATTTCAAAATATGATACTTCGATAGCTTTGAATTGAAAATAGAAATGTTCACTTGAAAACAAAAATAAGGACCAAATTTTCTGTTTGTTTTTATTTTTATTTTGGGTTTTACGTTACATCGACACAGTATTGGTCATGTCGCGACGTTCAAGCTTAACTGGTGTAGGAAGACCTCAGGTGCCCTTCCATGCATTATTTCAGGCACGAACGGGCTTCTGAGTAGAACCACCGACGTTCTGTAAGCTAGCTGGATAGCTTCCTCACATGAAAGATTCCAAAGTCCCTGTTGCGATTCGAACCAACAGCGGTGAAGGGCAAGTAGAAAGCACAAATGATCAAAGTTAAGTTTGCATCCGTAGAATATAAAGAATATTTAAACAAATCGGTTGAAGCAGCCTTTAAATTGCCTTTCATAAGGCAAACAGTTAACAGATATAAAAATATATCGATCCGCTCTCAGTTTTATCAATTAGTACAGCGGGCGATTTGTTTCACGATCTTCTATTTTGTTTTAAACCAACGTTTGTAGGACCGTATATGTTACGGAGTGTATATGTCAGACATGTGAAACCTATTGGGCCGAAACAATCACTGCTTTCCTTTTGTGCATAAGCGTTTCTGTAATTTGGTAGTAAATGCCTGACCGTTAATGTCACACAATTTTTACAGTAAGCTAAACATTATCATTCCTTTCGTCGTCACCAGCGTATGCAGTAACTTGCCCTTATCAACGTAAACCAAAAATCATTATCAACAAGAAAATCAATATTATCACCAACAAGATTAGGCAATATTGTTCAAGTTCACCTATTTCCTTTTGGTGTTTCTTATTAGTACTTATTGACCAAACGGTGAGTGATCATGATCATTTGATTTTTTAGAATATTGGCAATAACCACCGTTAAAGTGATTAAGTATTTTGAATAAAAGTCAAAACCTTATTTTTTTCACATTTTGCTATTTTTTGGCACATAAATTCATTTCAAGAAATCCTCTCTTCAGGTGATAATCTGCTAACATGTTTTAAATGCATTCTTTTAACATTAAAGACAAACTTGTCTCTTTTTTAAAAAAACAATATTTGTATAAAAAATGTGCTTTTGACAATAATTGATTTGAAAATCAATTTTATGAGCGCGATCTAAGATTGGGTATTTACATTTACTTTTGTTCGTCCATTTGAGCGTCTGTGCATACGTGCGTTTTTCCATCCCAAATTATTCCGTTTTGTTGAACATAGAAAACTAAATCCATTATAACATGGCACATATGATTATATTCCATCTTCGGCTGAAGAGTGTGTCGTATTTGACCGAATGTGTCACACGTTTGTAATTTTCGGATCGAATTCGCCACAAGAATGACATTATATTGCCTAAGACATGTACGGTCCGACAAACGTCAGTCTATTACGCGTAATAAATAGCCCCCGAGACGGACAATCTCAATTGGCTTGAAACGGACGGTTGAAGGGCGTTTAATAAAACAAACATACACTAGTTGGTTTCCTTGAAATTTTAGCTTCAAGATCTTTTCAAGTTAACTAAATGGCTCATTTTAAGAAGAAGTAGAGACAGTAAATGGATGCGACAAGGAAGTGTTTGAAGTCCAACAAGCTTAGCTTGAAAGTGAAAGAGATATTTAATAAGCCAAATAAAACAATAAGGAACAAATTTTCAAATTTTATCAACTCGTGTCATGTTTAATTAACAAAACAAAAATCAGCTTATTACAATCACAAAAAGGTTGTTCCCGATTCGATCTTGCAACTACTTGGTGACAATTCCGTAATTCATACCACAAAGTATCAAGATCTATTATGCCATTACAATTGTAAGAGTAAATCTTAACACATTAAGGAAGCTAACGAACTGTATCCCGAAAGTGATTGTCTCAGGTCAATATTGCCAACAATGCCTATTAATATTCAAAAACGGAAAAGTCTATTATCATTCTAACAAAAGACAAAAGAAGTACGATTAATTGAAGAATACAAACAGTACGACGAGACAAACCGTGATGCGAAACAATTGTACAACCAACTTAAGTCGATTTAACTTGTAAAATAAATAAAAGTAGCAAAAATTATGAAAGGTAAGTGACGGTCAATTTACTTTTTTTTATAAATTATGCAAAACATTTTCACATATAAGCAAAAAGCAGAATAATTCTTATCGAATAATGAATGGTACAGCAGCTGCGGGAACATTGGAATACGCCAGGTTTTGGAAATATTATCGAGTTAACCATAATGAAACAAAACCTATACGCATCTGTTTATACATGAGAAATAACAAAGATCCAATTAAGCGGTACAAAAAATAGAAATGGGTCCATAGGGCACCGGTGCCTCCACACTCCACCGTTATGTCAATCTTATGACTCTATATCAAATGTTTTATAGGCTACATGTGACACAAAGGGAAAACTAAAACATTTCTACTAATTCAACGGCAATAACTTTACAAATATTGAATAAACTTACAAGCAAACCCCAATATACATACGTACACATGTTGACCAACATTCTTGTAAATTTCAGGCCTACAGGTCAAATACATTTTGAGGTTTGCATGAACAAGTGCACAGGTGCACAACAGCACATGCCAACCAACATTTCTCTACAGTTTCATGAATTTAGGTCAATTACTTGTTGAGCCATACCAGACCTAAGTTATTAATTGATTTTTTGTACTAATTCAATGGAAATTACTCTCAAGTTAGTGGATAAATCCACAAGCAAAACCCCAGGTACACAACTACACTTGCCGACCAAAAGTGTAATTAAGTTTCATGATTCTTGGTAAAAACACAATGCGCTACGCTCGACAAAAATGAAAATTGCAAAATTTTATTAAGTCAAGGGCAATAGTTCTGACAAAACAACAAAACAAAACAGACAAATGAAACCCCATGTGCACAACTGTACATGCTGAGCAACATTCCTAAACAGTTTCATTACTCCTTGACGAACTCATTTTGAGCTATGTGCTACAAAATTTGAAGGTTGCAACCTTTTACTAAGTCAAGGGCATTTACTCTACAAATTCTGAATAAATCCGCGCGCAAAGACCCAGGGGCACAACAGAACATGCTGACTAACATTCCAGTATGGTTTCATGACACTAAATCAAATCTTTTTTGACGTACGTTGGACACAAAATGAGGACGGACGGACTTGCCAACATATGGGGTTGATGTGCTGTTTTTAAAAGCTTTATGTTGCTTTTTTCTACATAAACCGGTAAAATTATCACATAAACCAGTCGGTCTTTGGAATTTCCTTCTGGCATTTACTAAAATTATGGATGGAAAGAAGCTCACAGACAATTTGATGTTTTGCCTGTTGGACCGACGTTCAGACGGATGGACAAGGGTTAATATAAATACCCTTATATCGAAAAAATATTCCAAGTTTATAACTGAATTTTTTGAAGTAGCAATAGTATGGGTTCCTAGTCTGGAATAAGCGAGTTGATAGATGCTCAAAACTGGCAGTGTCGACTTACTTCCGAGGGATCTTTTTGTTTCCAGAATTTTGTACTTCACAACAGCAGGTGTCAAATGCCGTGTGGCAGCCGTAAAAAGTTGCCCCGTACTTCACTTCAGTGTTGTTATATTTTCTGGTCCTTCGGGATCATTGATGCCAACACTATAAAGTGTTGAGAATTGAGTACCGCTCAAGCCGGTGCTAGGGGGCGTGAGGGATGTTGCACTTATTCATTGTCCCTAATGTACAGACTCAATCAAACCGAGTCTGCAATTCTTATGTTATTTTGTTGTGATTAATGCTTCCGAGGGATCACTTTGTTTCCAGAATTTTGTACTTCACAACAGCAGGTGTCAAGTGCCGTGTGGCAGCCGTAAAAAGTTGCCCCGTACTTCACTTCAGTGTGGTTATATTTTCTGGTCCTTCGGGATCATTGATGCCAACACTATAAAGTGTTGAGAATTGAGTACCGCTCAAGCCGGTGCTAGGGGGCGTGAGGGATGTTGCACTTATTCATTATCCCTCATGTACAGACTCACTCAAACCGAGTCTGCAATTCTTATGTTATTTTGTTGTGATCAATGCTTCCGAGGGATCACTTTGTTTCCAGAATTTTAAATATTACAAACATAAATAGAAAAATGACAGAAAAAGGTCAAATTATGGATGGAACATTTAAAAATAAATTAAATAGAGATAATGGAATTCCGCCTCACAACTAAATCCTATATCAATAAAAGATACAACTTGATAGAATATATTCACGCCTGAAATAAGAAAACGCAAATTTTAAAAGGGCATAGAACAATTATCTTACATGTAAATAAGCCGATACATTCGAACTTGTACTATTCAAAGCGCACAACTTAAAAATGGAATAATCCATATTTGAACTTGGAGTAGAATGAATAAACAAGATGACACTTTTGGATCCGCCAAATACATATCACTTGACACGCTTATATAGAAATATAGATGTTACTGATATAGTTTTTTAGAAACAATATGGATCGAAAAAGGTGAATGCCGCTTTGATTTTTATACATATAAATTGATGAAATGTCCTTTACAGACGCTGAAAGTAAATGTATTAAATATAAACCTGATAAACCAATTGAAATGTTCTTTAGCAAATTGGAATGTTGAGGAAAGCACAAAATGATGGCATTGCAATTAAACAATCAAACAATTTTAATTTTGTTTTAAACTTACCGGACTCGTCTTTACTGAAGAGCTGATAATCGTAGTCAGATGAGGGTAACATTAAGTTAGAAAGTTTTGCAAATTTAGTTTTTGTTTTCTTAGTTGTCTTAATCCGAAGAAGAACGAATTCTTCGCCAACGGAGTCCTGAAAAATGAAAATAATATTTTACAATTAACTTCTAAAACGTACATTTTATAGATTTGATATCAGATTTGATATTGACTAAAAAAGAATTGATACATGCTCACCGCACATTTTAAGAAAAATGAAAATTTATTCTTCAAAGGGAGTTTTATAGTACGGACGTACTTCGGGAACTGAGTATTTTGGTGTTAAGGATCTTCCACATTGCCGTAGATTGCAGTATTAACGTTCAAACTTTGTCATGTAAAAAATAAGTTATTCCATGTGTAAAAAGTATATATTTTTATTTTTTACCATTGATTAAAATTGTTCTTAGCTGAATTGGTAAGAATTCAACAAAATTCCAATTGAATCATGTACAATACTAGAAAGTCAATAGTTCATATCATTTTATATAGAATGCCAGCATATCATATTTTTTTCTTTGGAATTTTCTTAAATTTATACCACAAAATTGAAAGTACTGGTGAGTAATAGAAGGTCTGTAATATACTTTAGTATCAGGGAACAACAAATCACGAAATTATTATTTTTGAAAGTTTTTAAAGTTATTTATATTGCAGATAATAAAATTTTATAAAACAAAATAGTATTATTATTCATAAAAATGATCATTTTAAATCAATAATAACTTAATCAAAAATTATTCTATCAATGGGAATAACGAAAATAATATTTTAAAACAAAACAGATATTAAATATAGATATGAAAATGGATGGAGTCAAACTCATATTTATTTTAAAGGAATTATTTCGACATTTTGTTTGAAAAATCTGATAAATTCAAAAAATATTTTTGTTGACTTTTGCTTTGAACACAATCTAGATTGGTCGAAAATGATCAAACTAAGAAAATAAATCCGAACACCAATATCTTTAATTCAGTTATTAACGCTGTTCAGACGTTTAAATAGTTGTTTACGTGACGTCAAAATGCAGCGCCAAATGACGCAATAATATATTACTGCTCGCTGTACAATTGCAGTAGCATAGCAAGCAATTTGGTTCGCAACCATTTATCTTTGGTAATGAAAATAAATAAAAGGTTATTTTTTCGTTTCTTGTAAAATATTGCTTATATTTTCACTCAACATTATAAAATGGCACATATTTTCACTCGTCGCCCCGGCCCATGAACATATGTGGTGTTTATCATGTTTCCTGAAAATAAATTCCATACTTCACTCAAACGAAAAAATAACCTCTTAGTATTTATTTTTTAATCAGTATTTGAAAAAAAACTGGAAAATGTGCGCATTGTAGACTTATTCACTTAAAAAAAATAATTAAGAATCATGCACATATCACTAAAACTAATTTCACTCACCCTGTCTTCGGCAATGACCTGTTTTGGACCATCTTGATTTTTGATACTGTACTTTCCGAGCTTGCTAAAATTTGTAAAAAAAACAATGAATAAAAAAATCTGAAATATGAATTTTAAGACAAATGAAATATAACTATAACATTAAAACAGCGTTACTCCAGATTCATGCTAAATTTCATGAAGATTTCTAAAATGAATTTAAAAGTAAAATATTGTGAAGTGAACAAAGAAAGTAATTTACACCTTGCAAACTGCACTAACAATCAATATAAATAACCAAATAGGGATCAACATATACATAAATACCTCTTACTGCATAAGTAACGAATTAACCACAACAAGAGTTTTTTTCTTCAAAATTTGCCTAAATGCTCTCAAAAGTATATTGGTTGATTTTTCAAAATATAAAATACTTTTACCATGTAGTTTTTATTTTATTAAACTTTGAAAATATCTGTATTCCCATTTGCTATTAAATTTGAAATTATTAAGCAAATAAATACCTAGTGACTAGGTACAATAATTAGATCATTAAAATTAACACTTTCTTTCTCCATAAGGGATCTTAGAGATACGCAAATTTTGTTAAGGAGAAAAAAATCTAGCCCATGCTTGGGTTTGAACCCATGCACATTAGTTTCAATTGACAGTGATTCTTGCCTTTTTTATTTTTAAACTCTTCAAAAGGTAGTTAATGCATAAGGGGTGGTCTACTTGAGTTCTTTTTGATCGGTACGTTTCGTTTTACTTTCGTGTAACAATTATACGATTATAACTCAGTCCATGTTAAAAAGGGAATATTCACAGATTCCTGTTTCAGCTATTATAGGTGAATTTTTAACTACTATTTTAAGGGAAAATACACAAAACAACATTTATAAATATATTTAACACCAAATTATTTCCATTTCTTTAAATAAACTAAGAGTATAATCATATACGAGTATAAGTCATGGTTTTTCCGCAGCAGAACATTTAACAGTTCTTTCTTTGTGATTACCAGGTATATAAAATTGGTTTAAATGTTCTGCCGGCGAAACACTAGATGAATCAAATAAATTAAGCTTTTCTTATAAAAAAAAAAGATATATATTTCATTATGCCTATTGCAAAAACAATTTCGACAAAAAGTTTAGTCTTAAATTGTGCCGCAAGCGGAACACAGATATGACTACATCTATAAAAATATAAGATATCATCATGAAGCGGAACATTTACTTTTTACAAAATATTGCAATAACATACAACCTTGTAAGAATTTATCAAAAATAAAATGCTAAAAGTAACATGATGACATATTTAGTTAAAGATTGTTCCGCAGCCAGAACAGAAATAAGATTTACTTGTGGAAAAATCAGATATAATCAGTAATAATATTTTCTGCTTGCGGAACAATTACATTTTACAAGATATCACAATTTATCATTTTAATTAATATATGCTGTTACTTTTATGATTTTATTTTTTGATAAAAACCTTGCCAAGTTGTAAATAAATTGTAATATATTGTAATAAGTAATGTTCCGCCGGCTGAACAGGTCTATTTAACATTAAATTTAGTTTTGCATAAGGGAATTGAACTATCTTTTAACAAGTAAATGTTCCGCCAGCAGAAGAGGTTTTTATATGATAATATATAATTTTTTGCATAAATTGGAATCATATTTGTGTAAATATGTTCCGCATGCGGAACAATTTAATGCTAAAATATTCATCGAAAATACTATTAAAAAATAAGCAGAATAAAATTGATTTCTTTTTTTTTTTAATAAAGTTTAATTATAATATTAATATTTAGTTATCTATCATTCCGTCGAAAGAACATTCAAACAGTTTTTTTCTGGTTATTACACAGAAAGAACTGTTAAATGTTTTGCTGCCTGAACAGACCATCACTTATAGAGATTATATTCTTATTTTGTTTTAAAGGATATAATAAATTTGGTGTTAAATGTATTCATAGATGTTGTTTTTGTGTACTTTCCCTAAAACAAAAGTACAAAATAAACTAAAATAGCTGAAATTGGCCTTTTCTTAATTGGGAATTTGTTAAGATTCCCTTTTATTAAAATGGACGGAGTTTTATTTACTTTTCCTAATGATATGAATACTACATTTTTTAAAACAACTTTTCAATCTTTTATGAGGCATTGTATTTTCGACATTATTTGGAATATAATGTTATATTCTGTCAATTTATAGTTACATACATTTTTTTTGGATAGAAAAATGATAACATTTACAATAGCGTAGTTAATGTTTTTCTCCCGAAAGTTGAAAACGTTCTATGACCAATCCAGTAATATTTATTATCAGCTTTAATACTTAAATTTCTTTTTTCAATATTGGTTCTTGTATTGTTGATACTTACCCATAGTTCAGCTTTTTTAAATTTATGAGAACCTGTTATGTACGAGACCTTGATATTATATTGTATAAGATTATATTGCTGGCGTGACTTCAACCTGTAGCGGTAAAGGGCCAGTGGTAAAAAAGTTATATGGGACATTGGAAAGATTAAACATTAATATAAAACAAATATTCCTCACTTGGTTATAAAATATTATACAACTTACATTTTAGTATCGACACAGTCAGCAAGAGTGAGTATCCAAGCATCAGAAATTTGTACACCAGCACAAACCTCATCATTCCCAAGTGTTATATACACTATCAATTTTTCTATTGACCTCAAAATTTTGGCTCTCTCACTAAGTAGCTTCTTGGCACCTACGCTGTCCACTTGCCCTATAGACAGCACATGAAAAAAAAACGTGACACTGTTGAAATAATAAATGGACCTGATGTTGAAATAACAGTTTCTTTTAATTCACTGATCACTATCACTAAGAAGATTCACCATAAATGAAAAGAATGAAATATTTGTTCTCAAAATTCCGCTGAGTTAAAACATATAAACATGTACTTACATAGCAAGACAAGAAAAAATATTTTCAAGCCATCCATTGTGTATATTCACCTACACAAACAGAATAAAAATAATACATATTTCTGAATATTTCCAATTTATTGAAAACAATTGGAAATAGCCAAAGGATAGAAATAATGAGTCAATAATGTTTTAATTTTTTCAATTATATTTTGGGTAATTGCACATACAAGTGAGATGGTAGGGATTGTGTAAGAATATAATTAATTTCTAAAGATAAGATTTTAAGATAATAACATAAAATATTACATTGAAGTTCCATTTAAATGAAGGACTCGTAGTGACTATAACAGATTAGATGTACCAAAGTCGTAAGTATATGTCGTTATCTGTTTTCGTGTAAGAATTCGCCTTTTCCATGTTTTCCACGTGATTGTACGAATCAATTTGACTGTTATGTTTATATGATGAATTTTACAAATTTAATTTAAGTCATTTAATAAAACTATATACAAGAAATCATAAATTTGGCAAGAATGTTCCATTTAAAAAAGCTCTTTTATTAAATAAATTGAGTGCAAAACTTTTAAAACCTGACAAAGTATTAATAAAGCTAGAGTCTGAAGTCCTTCAACTTCGAGTTACAGGAAGCCGAGGAAATGTGTCATGAATATCTGATATATTTATACGTATTTAACGTCAGTAATAAATGTTAATGTTTGAATAATGATCAGTATCTTCGTTTAATTAACAGTTAAACCGGATCATGTAGATAGTTTCTTATATAACTGAATACAAAAAGTCATATAAGAAAGGTATTACGACAAACCTGAAAGAAAGCTAAAATACATGTATTTAAAAAAAATAAATGAAAACAAAATTATTTATAACAGTACCTTATGTTTTAAAAAACATGAAAAAGAAAACGCAAATGAAAATGATATCCTTTCTAACAGACTTTGAGGGCGAGAAGAGGGAATACTTATAGCTCTGCAATATTATACTAAAAAACATTAATTATAATTCGTAAGTAATTAAAAATGACAGAATCGATTCATGATAAGAGTGAAATATTGTTTATTAAAAGTTAAATATGTTTGTTCACGCTGTGGTTCATAGAGGCGTTATTCATCATAATATTAGCGCTTTAAGCTATGACAGGATCATAACGGATGGTTATCAGTATCTGACGTGATCTGATGTTTGTTCACGATGTGGTTCATGGAGGAGTTGTTCAGCGCTTTAAGCTATCATGGTAATATCATAACGGATGGTTATCAGTATATAAAATTTGATGTTATCATAAACCTGTAATTTGCCTGAAATTTTGTTATAGGTAAATGAGAATCAAACTTTATTTACATGGCTTTTATCATTCATCGTAAATATCACTTCAACTTTTGAATAACTAAAAACTATCATGAAAAAAAAATAATAAAGTTACACTTTGCAGTTATTGAGTACTTTTTTTAAATTATTAATTACCTTTTTTCTTTATGTACCACATGTTAACATTCTTCATTCAACCTGGGACGGTTTTCGCCCACTTGACCTAGAGGTGGAAGCCGGGATTACTTGTTCAGCCCAGTCTAAGATGGGTTTTGTTAAATTTAGAAAAAAGGAATTTATATTATCACTCTAGACCTCACCCAGGTGCTTTTACTGTATAATGGAAAGTAGACAAAAATACCTTCCCATAATTAAACTTTAAATTTCAAATTGTTTTGATTCTAATTTTGTTTAGAAAATGACAAGATGAGCTTTTGTGACACCGTGTTGTCTGTCGTCCGTTGTTCGTCATGACGTCCGTCCGTGCGTTTACTTTTTCATTCAAATTTAATGTTACTTGGCAGGCATATTGCTTGCATGAAGCTCTACTAAAGTTTGAAAAAATATTCCTTGAAGAAACCTGTTTGCCATGGGTATGATTTTTTTACACAGTCTTTAACAATATTCTTATCGAAACGTTTTCGTGTTACTATATTTAAACAAAATTAATGTTTAATTCAATTTTCTAAGTAAAGGTTTCAATGGCTCCGAGGTTTAAAAATAGATTTAAACAATCTTTAAAACCGTATCTTACTAAAGCCAGAGACTGTCAAAAAATAGATAAATCATGTTTTTACCTTTCCTATGTCTTGGTAAATTTTAATTTGAGACTTTAAATAATAAACTTTTAGAGCGTCTATAAGGACGACAATTTTTGCATCCTGAAGATCTAAATCAGCGTGGTGCAACAATTTATTGACAACTTCCTACAATGCACCACTCCCTGTTTTTTTCAGCATATCTTTCGGAACAATGTATAAGTCCTCAAACAATAAGTGTAGTTTTAGGAAACATATTTTATTTGCTGAGAACGACTTGCATGTGAAATAAAGCTTCTGATTATATTGTAGTTTACAACAAAGGTAAGTGTGTCCTTATACTACCTGGGAAGCTATTTTACTTTATATCATACACCTATGGAAAAAAAGGATTTCTTTTCACACATTTAGGATGCTAAATGTCTGAATTTCGTTTATTATTTTGCCTTGAATTTTAAGTATCTTATTTTCGAATGAATTTATGTATAATTAGTTACCTTCGTAGCAGTGACATTATTGAAATAATTATGTACAAACTTTCAAAACGACCGATATTTTTTTTATTGAAATATTACAATAGCACTTTTTAAGATATCCCCTCAAGAAATCTATATAAATAATAATCAATATTTTCAATATCTGAAGAAAATTTAAGATGAGAAAATAATTAATATTTTCCAATGCAAAATGATCTTTGTATAACGTATACAAAAAGTTAATTCCTCTGACTGTGATACAGTTCACTTTCAGAACAAAGGTTTATATATGAAGCTGTAAAAGAAAAACTTCAAATTCAATATTACTATCGAAAAGTATCAAAACTATATATTCTGTTAGTAAGCAAAATAATTTCACGTAAATTTTGGAATTCAAATTTATAAATCTAAAACGACACAATCAAATCATATTAATTGAAATGAATAATATGAACCAAAATTTAAAGGTTATGTTTTAAAGCAACGTTGAAAAGTATTATACAAAAACATTACACTTCATATTATCAAAAAGTTAAAAAAAACATGGGAGAGATGAAGATGTCATTGTAATCGACAGACAGCTTAGGGGCACATTTTAATTAATGACAACAGCAGCGCTTTTTATAAAAAATAAATAAGCCATAAGAGGTTCAATTGCTTGTTTTGACTGGACTTCTGCAATACGTAACTTTTATAATTTCACAATTATAATCTGATGTTTAATTTCAGATTTCATAGTTCGGTATACTAAAACCTTTCTGGTGAAAAGATGAAAATAAAACTAATTTAGATAATGGAATGTATTAATTACGATCGGTTGTTATTCTTTTTGTAACCAATTGTCTCAATTTACCTATTAAGAGGTCAAACAATACCCTGAAGGCTCGTGTTAGCGAATAATGAGACTTTGATCGAAATTTTACACATTCAATAAGGTAAGGAAATACAAACAGAAAATTTAAAAAATATAATATTACACACATAGGATTATCCGTTTATCAGAATGCATTAACTTATTATTTCATTAGCACTCTAGGTCATTGATTAGTGCATTTAATTTCATTTTACCAAAAGGAAATACAAACAGAAAAATTAAAAAAGTATAACATTTCAAACATTAGCTTTTCAAATGTCAGAATGCGTTAACTTATTTTTTCATTAGTAAATAAATCCATTTCAAACCATATCGGTTGAAATACAGTTCACGAATGAAATTATTGAATATATTGCCAAAAACAGAAGTAGCATTGTAAATTGCCAACTGCCGGTACTTCATTTATGTCCGAAGTTTTATAAACTGCCTTTCAAATACTGTGTTTTCATATTATCAATTATATGTTTCACTTACAACTTACTGTTATTTAGTGAAATTACATATTTTAAGTAGAATCAGTTCAAATTAAGACTGTCTTATTTCAAAATAATTACATCATATAAACCTATCACCTCAATTATAATAATCTAACCAGAAATGAAATCATAAAAATGTTAACTTTTAAAAACAGAAACCTTATAAAGTAATAGATTTTGAGAAATAATGGGAGGTAAAATATATATATTGGTATGAAACATATTTATACATTCACACACTTTAATCTCTCTTTGTAATACATACACTTTTATAAAAATGTTTAATGAATCAGTGTGACCTTGACCCGAGGTATTCTAAAACTGCCCTCTTCACATCGCCTTATTATGGTTTACATTTCTCCAAGTTGTTTCAATTTCCTTCCACCTTTTCAGAAGAAACAGACCGGAAACGATAACAAGACAAATTTGGAAAAAAAGTTTTACAGACAAATTCGTCAAAATAAAATTATAAAATGTTTTTCAACGTTTTCATTCTTTTACATACACACACAGTACTAAATAGATAATTATTTAACTAATATATAAAACGTCAAACATTATCCATTTTTTTGGTAGATTTCTGTGAAAATTATATTTGGTAATTTCACTGTGAAAAATATCAAATATAATTCTACTCTTTTTCTTGAAACACTACTTTCAATAAATCCCCTCTTGAATGCTTCTAATGTACTAAATACTTTTCTTTGACAAATTTAGTGTTACTTCCACTAAATTGTTTATATAACAACATACTTGTTAAATTTAGACAGTTCGTTCGTCTGCAAATCAATTCAATTGCTGAATCAGAAATAGATCCTGACATTTTGTCAGACATAACTGATACCTTTTATGACAAAGAGCCCTTTGGTGACTTTGAACTGGTTCCATCAGATAAGGGATTATCAGAGAAGTAAATCCTTATAATTTTTTGGAAATAAAAGAGAATACTAGGAAGAAGACCATGTTTGACATGAAACTTGTTAATGCCTTCCTAATGTCAAAAAATGAAACTAGACTCATACAGTTTATACAGCCATCTTTGTAATTTCATCCTGTCCGTTACCAAAAATGATGGTTCACAGTATGAACCCAGTACACTTTGATGGTTCTTACATTCATTTGATTGACACTTGCGACGTTTTGATAGCCTTGTGTCAATCGGGATAA